TCAATCGAAGAAAAAGTTCTTGAAAGAGCAGCACAAAAACTAAGATTAGATCAACTTGTTATTCAACAAGGACGAGCCAATCATGCACAAAAAAGTATATAAATATAACCATTTGTTATTCCATTAAAAGGCTATACATTTAATTTATTCATTCCCGTTATTTATATTTTTTAAAATATTCATTTAGATGCCACCAAGGAAGAACTTTTATCAATGATCCAACATGGTGCCGAGAAAATTTTTAGTTCGGCTGATAGCACCGTCAGTGATAATGATATTGATTATATTTTACGTAAAGGTGAAGAAAAAACCGCCGAACTCAATCAGAAATTCCAAAGTCTTGGATTGGATGATTTGCAAAAGTTTACATCCGACTCTAGTTCATCTTATGAATGGCAAGGAGAGAATTGGGTGAATAAGGTTGGTCTTATTTTTAACAATCGGTGAGAATTGTTTATAATTGATATGATTTTTGTTAAACAATATATTTTTTATAGCGCAAAGGAGAAAATTCACGAGGTTTCAATTGGATAGAACCACCAAAACGTGAACGTAAAGCTAATTATGCAATAGATTCGTATTATAGAGAAGCTTTAAGGGTAACTTCAAAGCCTGCTCAACCAAAAGTCCCAAAAATACCAAAACAAATCACTTTGTAAGTCTTAAAAGCTACTGCATCTATGTATATATATTTTTTTATTTATTATATAGTTATTAATTGATTTTTCTTTATATTATTAATAGTGCAGAGTTTCAATTTTATCCTCCACGTTTAGTTGAATTATTGAAAAAAGAGAATTATCATCAACATGTATGTACCATTTACAAATCTAGAATTCAATATGTTTTATATTAAATAATTATTACCTAACATCGTTTATTAAAATATTTGATGCTTTAGAAATTAATGAATTTCAAGGTCCCATTAGCAGAACCTTTACCTCAAAATGATAACCCAGAATTAAGAGAAAGTGAACGTCAAGAAGAACAGGATAAAATTGATAATGGTATGCGCATATTTTCTATATTAATTAACTGAATCAGAGACTTTATAACTAATGTATTCTACACACATGTATAGCTGAACCTTTGACTGGAGAAGAAGAAGCCGAAAAAAATTCACTAATGAAAAAAGTAAGAATACAATATTTAAATTATATATATAAATTTTGTTACTCTTTTTAATATCATATAAAATTATTGTAATAAGGCATTTGAAGATTGGAGCAAACGTGATTTCAATAACTTTATAACTGCTTCAGCTAAATATGGAAGGTAGGAATTCGTTTTAAAGTATATTTTATGAATTATGAATTAATAATGACGATTGGTTGATGTTGATTAATGATTTTAAATATGATAGAACTGCTATTGAAGAAATAGCCGAAGAGATAGAAAAATCATTAGATGATGTTAAGAAATACGCCAAAGTGTTTTGGGAACGATATAAAGAATTACCTAGTATGTATTATTTAATTCTATTTTTATTTTATTTTGTTTCCACATATTATTAATATTTATTCGCATCCCCCTCCAATAAATAAATAAACAGATTATGAAGAATTGATTGCAAAGATTGAAAGAAGTGAACAGAAAATGCAACAAACTCAAGAAATACAAGAACTGATTAAATCAAAGGTGGCTCAATACAAAAATTCCAGTTATGATATACAATTGTCAAGTCAAAACAAAGGCAAATCATTATTTACCGACGAGGAAGATCGATATTTGTTAATGGCACTTGCAAAATACGGATATGGAACTGAGGGTGTTTATGAGAAAATACGAAATGAAATTGAGAGTTCTGAATGCTTTCGATTTAATTGGTTTATTAAATCGAGAGCTGCTGGTGAATTGGGTAGACGTTGTAGCACACTTATAAATATGTTACAGAGGGAGCAAAACGACGACGATGATAATAAATTTATTCATTATCATCATCAAAATGGTAATGGTAGTAGCAGTAGTAGTGGCAGTGGCGGAGGAAATAAAAATGATTTAAAAGTAAATGTTATTAGTTTATTTTTTTTATTATTATTATGAATATTTTGTTTTTTTTTTTTTTTTTTATATGATTTTAATATTTTTTAACATTTTAAAAAAATTTACTAACTAAAAAAAAACAATTATTTGTAGCGACCACAAACCAATGGAAGTATAAATAATAATAGTGGTAGTAATAGTAAACGTAGACGTACATGAAAAATATTCAAATATTTGTAAAAGTATTACATGTTTTTTTTAAAGAATATTTATTGGTCAGATATAAGATTCTGATATCTACTGATATACCCCATTACCCAATTTGGCATC